CGTACTCCTAACAAAAAATTGACACAGTAATGGCTGCTAAAAAAGGAAAGTCACGTATATGTGTATGTGTCTACTTTAAAATAAATAGTGTCAGATAATGTGATAACATTTGAAACATTGCAGAAGACCTGCTGACCTAGTTGGGATAGCACCAAAAATTTCGACCTTGGAGCTCTACTTTAAAACTGAATAGTTTTTAATATTTTTATATCCTGGATATAGATATAAATAACTAACATAGAGTTTAGTTTAGTTTATTTGTAATATTATATAATTTTTACAATCTGGCACAGGTTTAATAGTAATATCTTTGTTTCTTTTTTTTGTTTTTTTTTTTTTTCGTTATTTGTTTTATTTGGTTTTATTAGTTTAGGTAGACCAGAACTTGACACTATAGTATTTTCCTATTTTTGTTATGCCCTTTGTATTTGTGTTTGTATTTCATTTTGTAAAAAGGAAAGCTAACTTTGATATAATATGTGGCACCAGCTCATAACCAAAAGATAACTTCTAGTAAGTTAGGACCCGAAGAGGCTTGAAGTCTACTGAGGCAAGTCATACCTGGCGAAAGCATGAGCACATCACTTTATAGGTAGATTAATTATAGCTATTATTAGGGAATGTAAATTTCTTAATATAGTTTAATCTCAATAAAAAGTGGCAAAACAGACGAATTATAAAAAAAAATTTATAATAACTTAATTAAAGTAATATATTTGTATATATTATTTTGATTATATAAAACTTTTTATATTAAAAAATTATATAAAGAGTATGGTGACTTAGTGAAGTTGGCAAGTTGTCGCACCCCAAGCAGCAGGACTAGAGTTCAAATTCCACTGGCAATGAAAATTCGAATTTATAGAAAATGCATTTGGAAGACTGTATCCTATTGGGTTATAGAACCTGTAATGATAGTTATACCAGCTTGTACTGGGAGGTAGTGGAACATGTAGTATAATATACAAGTTATACAAAATCTGAGTGAATCTACTGGATAAATCTAGCGAATTTACAGGATACGGGAGCCTGCTTGGTAAAACCCGAGTGGAGAGATAGCACAGATCTTTGATGGTTACTATGTAAAGGATGATCAATTGAATACCAGAAAACCAGACAGGACTGAGATGTTTGGCAAAACACTATACCAACCAGGCTATCAGATAACCGGAGAAAGAGTTCCGCCCTTCCAGGTCATCAGATTGAAAGTTTAGATTTCTGAAGATATAGGAGGGAGTCCTTAAAGTAGATACCGAGATTTGGGTGAACTCTACAAGGGCAGTAGTAGGTAACTGTAGCAGCCTCAGCTCGCAAGTACTTGTCCTTGGACTCGGTATAAGTTACTAAAAAAGTCTAGTCTGGAAATGTATAAGACATAGAAAGATTAGAGAGGTATATACTACACCTTCCTTAGAGTAACCCGGTAAGTATGAAAACCCTACTAGATTATCTACTGAATTAGAGCACAAGTAGTGTAGCATATGTCAATTTGAGTGGTCTTCAATGAAGCAGCATGAGGCTATGGGTTGACATAATTAAGGTGGTGATGCAGAACAGGGACACCAGAGAGTTTAATTAGATAGTTCAAATAATAGTAAGTTATAGGCATGACATCTAGTGTAGATCCTAGTAATAGGTAGCTACTTAATTAGGTGCTCAAAAGGTGCAGGTATGGTTAGAATATACTCTCGTTAACCAAGAATGTACTACTAATATACCTAATAAAAATTCACCCTTTTGTGACATTGCGAAGGTAAAAAAAAAAAAAATTTATATATGTAATTTGATTGGATAAAAACATATGATATAATAACTTAAAATAATATGATCACTGATCATATAACCATATGACCAGTGGTCATTTAGTTACAAGCTTATGACCTGGTCATAACCCATCACTACCAATAACTACATATAATACATATCCTGTGTACTATTCAAATTTTTTGAATTCTCTAAATAGATATGTATGTAAATATATATTATTCGGCAAAAATTTTTGAATAACAAAAATTTGATTTAACTGAACAAATTAACATGTGCCGCTAAGCGGCATGTGTCAGCCAATCATTTGCCAGGTTAAGCCAAATTTCTGTTATTCAAAAATTTGCCAAATAATGATATTATCTGAATTTATAATTTATAATCATAATTGGTAAGAAGTTGTCAGCTGAGTTTCAATTCAAATAAACATGAATATTTCGTAACATATGAAAAAAATAACAAACAGAAATAAATTCATGATCATAAGAGTTTGTCAGATAATGTATTATTATACGTATTTATTAAGGATTTATACAAGCTAATTAGATAAATTGGATCTATTTCATAAACTTCTTAGAGTCAACTGACTCTGCATATTAGTCGACTTAAATCGACTTGAGTCGAGTCGTTAGCATCCCTACTTTCAAGTAGGGCTGTTAAAAGTCCAATCTTTCAGTCCAGACTCTGTAAATAGGGACTTTTATTAGAAGTCAATCATTGAGTTTAGTCCATGCATATATATACCTCGATATAAATTAATCAATCATATGGATGGCTCCTGATCACAAATTGGAGCAAACAACATACATTTAGCCAATTATATAGATCACAAATTGGAACAAACAACATGCATTTAAATTTTGTCTGGGACAGGCTTGATTTGGTTCGAAAATGTCTGTGTGAAGTCGACTCAAAAACTGGGTTTGGCGAGCTTTTTAACAGCCTTACTTTCAAGAATAGATTAGTGAGTCCACCAAAATTCAGCAAATCGGCCCGAATTTAGGATCAGTGATGGGCCAGATCAAAGTGGCATTAAGCAATAATACCGGCCGATTATATTATAGCAAAATGGGACGCATCAAACTAAAACACGGCTTATGGCTTTTTTTTAAATTTTGAGAAAATCACGTTTAAAATTTCGTGTAACAATAACAATGACGATCTATTATTAGTATTCTAATTTTAGATAACGGCTAACCATAAAAAAAGAAGGCATCAACATTTTAAATATCTAAAAGAGTGTCTACTTTATATGACTGTATGGTTAACTCATTTTTGCAAAAAATGCCATAAGCCTTGACGCAACCCAAATTATCATCTGGGCAGCTTTACTTAGTGCATAGGTTGCCACTTTATTAGTAAAATTTTGGGTGATTTTAGAAAAAATTTATTAACTCCGGCCTATTCTGACCAAAATTCGGACCGATTTGCTGTATTTTGGTGGACCCTACTTTCAAGACCCTATTTTTATACAATACAGCACTGGTTTAGCGAATTGAGCTTGTTTTCAACATCTTGGATTAACATTCATCCAATCACATGACCAGTCGTGCCTGTGTTTTCGAAATAAGGGAGGGTCGGGTATTCAGAATTGAATAAATTTAGTACCATTCGATTCGTTTTACTGAGACGAATCGAATGATACAAAAATTAATCAATTCTGATCAAAGCTTGAGGAAAGCTGGGTATTATGGTGTAGTTATTATGCTTTTTTCTCTTTTTCCTCTTTAGGGCAGTTGCAGGAAGAGATCAGTAAAGTACCAAATATAAAAAAGGATATCTTAACACAATATGAATATCGATACGCATACGTAGTGCGCCATAATACAAAAAACATAACACTTTTTAGATAGATTTTGGAAGGTTCAAATATTAAGTTTTTTTTAAATATATAATTATTAGATAGAAAATCGAATATTATTTTATTTCGATAAATTTTGTGAATAAATATGCTTTTTCTAAAAATTTTTGCTACGTATTAGCAATCCTTAAATGCGCCATAATACCCGACCCTCCCTTATATGTCTAAATAAATACGTATCAATCTTACGCATATATCAGATATGATAAAGTTATCAGTATATTAATGCAAAATAATTTTTAACTCCGATACATATATGGTAATCAATAAAATCAGAAGTTTCAAATAATTGAAAATCGAAAAGGCACAATAGAATCCAACTCCTTTACCATTTTCAATTGCTGTATCCTATTCAATTGCCTATTCATTACGCCTACAAGTTACTTAAGTTACTTAACAATGTTATAATTGATCAGTATCAATTCTCCTTTATTACAGAGTGATTATGTATACTAGATATTTCGTAGCACGATATAAATGCTTCGCATAGTAAGTTTCTAAAAAAATAAATCCGTAATTTAAATGCGTGCATTTTTGTTTAGGGATGCTTGCGCATTTAATTTTTCTGCATGCAAGGAGTTCTTTTGTTCCACCAATTTGATTTTATTAAGGAGGGATAGTTTTTTTTTTTATTAGGGGTCAGCATTTTGCAAAAATACTGTTCTTGGTGGATCGTTGGTGCTGTCCTTGATAGGATAGAAAAAGCCAATTTACGTACTGTTCCTAAAGGTTACATATTATCGAAGTAGTAAAAACATGACAGAATTTGGCAGCCTTATGATTATTGCTCAATCCGATTATAAGTACAAGTTAAAAAAAAAAAAAAAAAAGGAAAGAAACGCATCTATGGTGTTTTGCACCTATTATGTTTTTATTGATTTTCTAAATTTTTGACACTAAATTTTTTACATTAAGGTTAGTACTTGCAGTTAGAATTAGAGTTTGGGAAGGGTTTTTGGGGGCATAGAACATTGTTACTTTGAACACCTCACACCGATTAATTGGTCTGTTTTTGAGATAATATATTTTGCCAAATTTTTATATTATAAATTTTAACGTTAAAAGTAGGTGGTAGTGTATTATTTTGGAAAACAAAAAACGTTTACTGTTTATTAAGCAGTAAATTATTAAATAACAAATTCTTTTTAATAAAAAAATAATAATTATCATTATACAATCAAGCGCATAAACATCACAATGATGCAGATTATAACTTCATTTTAGAAATAAAACAATAAATTGCAAATAGGCGAAATATTTGTACAAATAAAGTATGAAGGCTATACTATAGTAACCTCTTTACTAAAATAATAAAGCAAAAATTATCAGACATCATTAAGATAAATTGTAAAAAAAAAAAAAAAAAAAAAAATACTTACGAGTAAGCAGCACATCTTGGACCAAATGTAGTATTACCAAAAGCTCTGAGGATAACTGAATGAGGAAGTGACACTCCTGGAGCAACATAAAAATGAACAGAAGTAGCTGCATGACCGGGTTTCATATCAATTCCTTTTTTCCATACAACACCCAAAAGTCCTTCTTCCTCCTTCAACATTTCACAGTCGATACACATATCAACTTCTGACGTTGGGTCTTTCGCCCACATGACAGTAATGGTAGAATCGTTTTTAATCTTTACGGGCTCGTTGTTCTTATCATCATGTGCATAAGGATATACAAATCTGAACCCTAAGTAAAAGGTAATAACCGAGTTTAATATATTTCGAATTTAACAGTTGATCGAGAAAACATTAAAACAAAAAGTTGGTACCTTTGCATATTGTTTTAATATCATATTTGTTATTTTTATGTTTTTTTTTATGGTTCTTATTGTTATGACCACGTTTCTCTAAATCTAGACATATAAGAAAGTATTAAAATGTGATCTTTTTTTTCTGTTGCGAAACAATGTACTTTAATGAATGCTTACTTTCATTTAGATCTAAATCGGTTGTTCCATAAGAAGTATAGATCAAGGCGAAGATGAATAATAATGCAAAAATCAATCTCTTGTTTGAAAGCATCATTTTCTTTTTTAAAAAACTACAAAAAGAGAAAAGATATTGCGAGGAATGAACCAACAATTCAAGGATATTTATATCAAAATACGTTCTATATCTATTGAGACTTTCAACACACGAAAAAGTACTGCCATCAGGGATGTGCATAATCGCACGAATTAAAATATATGGGGTGCTGCAGAAAAATGGCTTCCTTTAGCCAATTATACGTATCATGTCTTAGTCCTTTTCATTTCTCCTGCAATCGATGTCCACTTTTCATTCTAGGAGAAAACGCCGCAAATACATTTATTTTATGTAATCCTGAACAATTTTATGCAAGTTGAGCTTCATGTACTTTTTTTCAAATTATTTGGGTTTCCATTGACAGTTATTGATTTTAATGATGGGAACACAATGTGTGCAATTAAATTACATACGTACGTACCTATCGCTATGTACATTTAATCTTGCCTTTTGACTTGCATTGTCATGTAGTACATATCAACAATTTTGTATTTGAAGTAGATTCACTTAAATCTTGCTATATCGATATTGCTCGAGTCCCGTCTGTTTATACAATATACGATAATTATATTATTCAGTTCAGTCAGATCTCAAAAATTAATAAATTTACTACGTTATTACCTGTATACCTTAATTATCGTTATATATATGAGCATTAACGTTAATGCTAAGAATTTTTTTATTTTATTTGTGCTAACAATTTACATTGAAAATTTTCGATTTGTGCTTTCTAAAAGTTATCTGCATTAGAGTTCTAGATCTTTTTTTGAAACAACCTGTCCTAACATAATTTACCCCTTATTGGCAAAGTTTGCCAACTTCTATGGTGTAAGCTTAAAACCAATATCATGTGATTTTTAATAGCTATTCAAATAGAATTTTGCTAAAGATCACCACAGGTGATCTATTATATATGATTTTAAAGAACCGAGATTTAGAGTTAGGTTAAGTAGAGTTAGGATAATAAAATTGAAATTATATGTAAAATTCTGTGCTGAAAACTTTTAATTAGTGTTCGAAGATTTATTATCATAGAAAATATCATCTTATCGACATTTTTTGGCCCTTTTTATTAGTTTCGCTACTGTTTTGGTTACACGAGATTCTACGATTTGATTGGTCGAACATATGAGCGGTGATAATCACCTGCAGATGGGTAATTATTTTTGAATTCAGACCAAAATTTTATCACGTCATATATAAATTGGTACATAATTACCATATTCAATTGAATCAACTAATTTTACAAATCTTTGAACCTAAATCTGAACTGAACTTTAAATTTATGAATTTGAACTAAATTTGAACTTAAATTTTTGATTCAGTTCAAGTTCAATTCAAGTTTATAAATATATGTTTAAGTTTAATAATTTATATATAAATTTTTATATAAAACAATATTATTTAGAATATAAAGATAGAATTAAAGATGTTGCAACTTAATAAAGTAGTAAAGTTGTTACATTTCTAAGCAGTATATCTAAAGTTTAAATTTTATTAGTAACAAAATTTGAATATTCTGTTGTGTATTATAGTTACTATTTTTATTAATCAATTAAATATTATATCTATAATCAAGATTATATCAGATATTATTTAGCAGTATTGTTAAATCACATCACTAGTATTCAACACCACTATACTTTATAACTCAAAATTTCATTTATAAAACTACTTTTGGGGCTTTAACAAAAAAAATTTATTATAAAATTTTGGTATAAATTATACCTTTGCTCCATCCTAAGCCTAAATTCTTACCTTAATATAAAATTTAATTTTCATTTTAATAAAAATTATTTTGATCTATATATTATATGATTTTTATATATGTGATGTTGAACACCATTAATATGATATATAATTTTTTGTTTTTAGTATCTAAAAAGAATATCAAACATTTGTATAATATATAAGTTATACAAATCTTATGTGAAATAGCCAATTTAATCTAAGAGATTAGAAGATATAAAAGTTTGCATAGAAAGTTCTAAATAAAAAAATAGTATAAATTTTCAATAGTGCTACATATAAGATTATCATCTAGAGAACTAAACACCAGAAATAAACTAAACAAGAACTA